AAACTGGATGTTCCTCAATGGTAAGTTGAAGAAATTTCTGTGGATCACAGGAAACTTGCTAGGGATATGATAGGCGGGTCCAGTCCTCTTAGTGAAAAATTTGACTTATCATAGTAATTCGGTTCCTAAGCGAGTCGGTCCCGTCTCGTCAAAATTTCTGGCTACATGCCTGATAGTCCAATGTTTGCTAAGTACATATATTTAGTTCGATGGTGCAAACCAGCAGGTCAGCAACTGACCACAGCTTGATGAGCATCTGGTATCATGATAAAGATCTGTCCGCAGAAGTACAGCAGCAAATGAAGATCCATCTCAATCAAACATTTAATTATATTCAAGTTTTTACTGATCTTCGTACGTTCGCAGCCTATCTCGATGGTACATTTATTGTGCAAAAAATTGTATGTATCGTAAGTGGTAAATTGGCAAAATTTCTATGCGACGTTGCTAGAATGTGTCCGCAATGTCAATATGTTTATGAATTACAACTGGAAGATGAGCCATTGTCGCTAGCGAATTCACATGCTTCGCATGTGTTTGACAGTGTCGATGGGTTATTCGCCCATATGAAATGTCTGCTTGTTGACGAAGAGAAAGAGAAGAAAGTCGATGAAGAATCATTGTCACTGAGCATCTTCAGTTCGAGTTGGACAGATGAGTCGTTTCTAAATTTAAGCAAGGGATCACTGAAGTTTCTTCTGTTTCAAGTGTGCATTGAAGTATTGCATAGTACGCAATCTGATCCCAATTCAATGGCGGATATGTTAGGCTATTGTCGCCGCCAGTACGAGCACAATACAGATGAACTGTACAAAATAGATGACTTTCATACCACTTATCGTTCAGATAAAGCCATTTTTCATTACACTAAAGATTCGTTTGTCTTTCGAGAGGTAAATCGAGCGTTTCGATCCGAGGATATTGAGCGCATGTTCACCTTTCGTCGATACATAACAGATCTACATCGGCAATTGGTTCAGAAAACTAATAGACAGGAGTCCATCCCGTCTCAAAACACAATGCGATTGTATCGAGGCAACAAGTTATCGACCTATGTTTTACAACAATTAAATGATAACGTTGGTTGCCTCATTTCTATAAATAGTTTCCTTTTAACTACGGAAGATCGTGATGTTGCAAAAAGATTTGCTAGGGTTGACCACAGTATAAATGGCTATGAGAGTGTTCTGCTCGAACTGTGCATTGATAATACGATGAGCAGTAAACGGCCGTATGCTAACATCAGACAGATCAGTAGGACTGAAGATGGACACGAAATTCTCTTTTCCATAGGGTCTGTTTGGCGAATTCAATCGATGGAAAATAGTGATGATAGTGTTTGGACAATCCAGCTACGATCATGCTGTGATTTGGATTCTCAGTTGGCCGAAATTTATGAAAAATTTACAGATGGTTGCACTTTTTTCTCAATGGGAAATATTTTACGTGAGCTTGGCGAGTATGAGAATGCCAAAGCGTTCTACTATCGTATGCTAGAACATCGTGATCTTCCAGATGAAACTCGTGCTCAGGTCTACTATAGCATTAGAACGTTAGCTAATGAACAGGATAAATACTCGGCTGCACTCGAAAAATTTGGCCAAGCAGCAAATTTGCTCCAGTCATCAGCAACACCATACGATAAACGGCTAGCGAGCATCCCACCGCTCCGCGCACACAATATTTTATCCTCTCAACTGCGTGTGCTGAACAGCATGGGTCTACTGTATCATAAGATCGGTGACTATGAACGTGCACACAAATCATTCACAAAAGCACTTGACGAACAGGGCTGCGCAATCGATATAGCCATAGTTCACAACAATTTAGGTCTACTCGAACTTTATCACGGACACTATGAACCAGCTCGTAAACAGCTTAATCAAGCAGTTGAACTGGCCAAAGATCATGAGCGGGTGAGAGAATTCAAGCAAAATCTGGACGCTGTCAATCACCGCCTCTTCAGATGAGCACCGGTGTGGGTGCGAGTAAAAACATATATATACAGAGACACTCATACTGCTTTTACACAGTCAGTAATACTCAGTTTCTAAGAGAGTGAGTCTCGTCTCTTCAAACATTTCTGGCTAAATACCTGGTAGTCCAATGTTTGTTAAGTACATATATATATATATATAGTTTAATTATACTGGTTTTAAACAGTCAGTAAACAGTCTGGGTAGCCATCCTTAACTTTCGATTGAAGATCAGCGACGAGCTGGTAAAGTTGAGGCTGTTCAGTAGAAGGGAACAGATGCAGCTTGCGTAATAGTTCAGACATTTCTTGCTTTTTCGTGTTTGTCTTACTCGTTCGATACCACATTTTCTCGGAAGCGTACGTTGTTTACTGACCTTCATTTTGTTTTAAAGGAATACAGACGATAAAATCGGTAAAAAGTATCACAACAGCATAGTTATTGTGATATTCCTTTGTTATTCATGTTCTTATCGACTCCCCTAGTTTCAGATAAAAATATTCTTTGACGATATTCAAAACGGCATAACAAGGTAGTCCAATGCTTATAACCAAGGTAATTTCCCAGTCTCTTTACATTACACTTCTCTCAGATATACAGTTCGAGATATTTTTATGATTCAATGTTTCGTTAATAATAACACATACCGTAACACGATGGCACATGCTAGCAGACCGCTCATAGGCCAGAACTTCATGAGTATCTGGCATCACGATAAAAATCTTTGTGCCAACCTACAGAGTCAAATGAAGACCCGTCTCAATCAAACATTTAGTTATTTTCAAATTTTTACTGATCCTTGCAAATTCGCAGCCTATCTCGATCGTCCATTCATTGTGCAAAAAATAGTATTTATCATAAGTGGCAAATATGCCAAATTACTATGCGAAATTGCTGGAAAGCGTCCGCAATGTCAATATGTTTATGAATTACAACTGAGTGATAGGGCAATGTCGTCAGCGAGTCCATCTGCTTGGCCTGTATTCCATA